AGCCAAAGGAAAACTGTACAGAAGAGCCTACAGCACGCTCACTCTCAGCTTCATCTGCACTCGAGGAAAAGCGCGAAGCCACCCCAGCATCGCGGCCTCTGGCTTCGTCAGCTGCATCGGTTCCTCTTCTGCCATGATAGGCACCGGAAAGCTGGAACGCCAGAGGACACAAATCGGAAGTGGCCTCAACGCTTTCCTGCGCCAAAGTATCCCACAAGCTGCTGCCCATCAGCAACCTGCGGTCCACGTTGTCGAAAGGACTTGTCGCCCCATCAGGTAGGAACTCCTGGAGGGCAACATCAGCCTGTGCACAAAGACCCAAAAGGGGCCCCCAGAACTCTCCAGTGAAGCTCCGGTCATCCGCTATGGTGTGAGGCACCATGCGGGGTGGCATAGGCCCAGCAGCCTCACAGAGGCAAGCTACTGGGCCGCACGAGGGGGCTGCTTGCCAGCCTCGTCTGCAGTCGCCGACGGCACTTCCCCGGCCGCCGGTCTGGAGCGCCGTGGAGTTCGCTCCCGATACTGCTCTGCTTGATCCTTTGCTGCCTGCTGAGCCAGCTCGAGGGCTGCGACAAGCGCTTGTTCCTTGTCCGTAGCCCTTTCGACTGCCATAGACCTTGCGGACTCCCTTTCGGCATCCTCCGCAACTTCGGCATCCATGGCGTCGATGTGCTCGTCGGTGAGGTCGACGGTGTCGTTGGATGGACCTCCTCCGGAAGCCTGTTGCAAGGCTTGTGTCGCCGCAACCAGCTGTGAAGTCCATTTCTCCTCGGCCTCCGCATACTCGCGCATGCTGTTGTTCTTGATGTCCAGCTGCTTGGCGAGGAGGTCCTTGAGTCCTGCGAGGTACCCATTCCACTCCACCATGTACTGGGCTCTGGCCCTGCGGAGATTGCTGAGCTCCTGCCTCGCTTGGCCCTGTTGCTTGACCAAGCGATGCAGTGACTTCTCCGTCGTCTTGAGGTCCGCGGCGAAGTGGCTCTCCAAGAGAGCCTGAACCTGAGGAGGTAGGGCATCCCGCTGTTGCGTGAGTGCCGTCATGAGCTCTGCCATGGCGGCCGGAGCTTTGTCGCCGCCCTCCGTCGAGGTCACTGCTGGCGGCGAGGAAAGCTGAGGAGCCTTCGGCGTAGTCGGCAGCGCCTGCAGCAGCTGTTGCGACAGCCTCTCCGAAGGCTGTCCAGGCGTGGCTGGCATTGGCTGCTTGCCCTGTACCTTGCCACGACCCTTGCCCTTGGCACCACCATCTCCGCCTCGAGCACGTCGAGGCGACTTGGGCCGCCAGCTGTCCGCTCTGCGCCTCGGAGAACTCGGCATCCCTTGCCACTGCTGCCCAGGCCAGGCCTGTCCATCCGGCTGAGCTCTCGAGTGGCTGTAACTGGCATGGTTCCAGTGAGCCCCACAAGCCGAGCAGAAAGTAGCTGTAGCCTTGTTGGTAGAGCCGCAAGAACACCGCCAGGGCCCCATATCTTCCTGTAGTTTTGCTCGCGCGTGCTCGACCAGAGTACTTCTGGAGTGATGGCCTCCCAAGGCCCTCAAAGCTGCTTGTACTCGAAGTCGGCACACTCTGCTGCCGGAGATCCAGAGCCGCAGCGCGGTCCTTCCCCGCGTACGCCTCTTGCGTGCCCGCCGGTGCCAGGCTGGCTCCCCGGTGGCACTTGTCCTCGTCCAGCCCCGAAACGGCGTGGTCAAAGAGGTAAATAAAGAAGCTCAGAAGGAGAAAGATTCCAATCCAGAGGGGACACCCACGTCCCATAAAAGGCACAGCACCAAACGTGCTGTCCACGAAAAATTTCCAGCCTCCGAAGAGGGGAATATCCAGCCTCCGAAGAGGGGAATCCGCGACAGCCGCCTCCAAAAGGTACAGCGGAGCCGCTCGAGAAGAAGTACTCGGTGCCCGAGGCAGCCGAGATTCCACGTGGTCCCACGCAAAGCGTGGACGCACTGGGGTCAGGCCAGCGTCCCGCAGTGGACTCCGAAGAGAAACTACACTGCTTGCTGAAGCCAAACGCCTGGGTTCAGGGTTTAGGGTTTAGGGTTTGGGGTCTAGGGTTCAGGGTTTGGGTTATCAAGCTTATTCGTGACTGGCCGTGGAGTGTTGAGTATCACCATGCTGGTACTGTCAGGTCTTACTATGGGGGTTTCCGAAGGTAGGCGACCCTAATATAGTACCCTACATAGTAGGATCCTTAGTAGAAGGACCCCAAAATAAGGTACCCCTCATTTCCGGAACTCCCATATTTGCAGATCCAACTGATCAGGGAAAACTGACAGGACTTCACCCTAAACCCTAAACCCTAAACCCTAAACCCTAAACCCTAAACCCTAAACCCTAAACCCTAAACCCTAAACCCAATTCAAAGAGCCTTCCGGCCACCAGATGGGAGGTTCTTAACGGTTGGGGGTACCCTAAACGGGGCAACACGGATCCTACTACTTAGGGTTTCGGGCTCGGGGCTTGGGGCTGAGGGTCAAGGGTTCAGGGTTCAGGGATTTTGGGTTAAGAATTTTAAGGGTTCAGGGTTGAGGGTTCAGGCTTCGGCTTATCAATCTCATGTAGGGCCCTTTTTTGCTTATCGAAGCTCTTTGATCCCCAATATCCGAAAGGCTCCGCGTGGAAGAACTAACCCCGAACACCCTAAGCTCCAAAGCTCCAAACCCCTAAAGCCCCCGAAGCCCCAGCCTAAACGCCCCAAAGCCCTAAACCGCAAATCCTGAGCCCTTAGCCCACAATCCCGAGCCCTACTCCTCCTTCCCTGAACCCTAGACCCTAGACCCTAGACCCTAGACCCTAAACCCTAAACCCTAAACCCTAAACCCTAAACCCTAAACCTTAAACCCTAAACCCTAAACCCTAAACCCTAGAGATCGCCGGTCGAAGTCAGTCTCAGGAGGCCTACGGCAAGGCGCAGGAGACGGCGCACATCTCCTTCTTGCAGGCTGCCCCTTTCAGGGTTCTGGGTTTAAGGGTTGGTTTCATTTGGGGTTTCGGCTTTGGGGTTTGGGGTTTAGGGTTTAGGGTTCAGGGTTTAGGGTTGAGGGCTTTGGGTTTAGGGGTTTGGGAAGCAGGGCGTTTGGCGTTTTGTGGCGTCTGCGTCGCTTTTCCAACCCTCTCCCTGAGGAGAGAGCGGCCATCTGCCTGCATTGTCTTCTGATGCCGTGCTGGTTGCCGACAGGCGCGGGCTTAGGGTCTACCTCTAACCGAAAAGACTAACCTTTTTCAGGAACGGAACCCGAAAAAGGTAGGTCTTTCTGGCTACAGGTGGGTTTTAGGCCAAGGTTTTGAGCCTTTTTGCCACAGCGTGAGGCGTTTAGTACATCCGCCGCATCCGAGACTGAAGCACTCCTGAACCCTAAACCCTAAACCCTGGATGAAGGACCCCTAGACCCTAAACCCTAAAGCCTGGATGAATGAAACCCTAAAGCCTGGATGAAAGACCCCTAGACCCTAAACCCTAAACCTTAAGCCCTAAACCCCTAAACCCCTAAACCCTAAATCTAAACCCTGGACGAAGGCTTGCAGTCGCAGTCCTCCTGCCCAAAGACCTTGGCCGTGTGCATCTACGCCAGGATCTTAGAGGTTTTGGGCTTCAGGAGTTTGGTCTTAGGCTTTAGATTTCAGGATTTAGGTTTCAGGGTGTAGGAGTAGTAGGGTTTAGGGTGTAGGTGTAGTAGGGTTTAGGGTGTAGGGTTTAGGGTTTAGGGTTTAGGGATTGAGTTTCTAGGATGCAGGGGTCTAGGATCTAGGAGCTGGGATTCGAGGGCTTTAAGATTTCTGGCCTCGTCTCCTCGGATGTCTGCATGCAATCACTCGGCAAAACCCTGCCTCCAGGCTGGGCCAAGCCCGAGAAATTCTACACCACGAAGCCTTCTCATGATTGTACCCTAAACCCTAAACCCTAAACCCTAAACCCTAAACCCTAAACCCTAAACCCTAAACCCTAAACCCTAAACCCTTTGGCTCTCCCCTTAAAGCGCAACCAATCGATTGATCTAAGCAGAGCCCTGCCTCGGACAAGTACAGTTCACAGCAGGATAGCACTTAGTGTATGTAGAAGCCAAGCCTGGCCTAATATAGGGGCCTTAATAATTACCAATACTATTTTGGGGGGTTCCTTATTGTAAAAATAATAATAATAATAGTATATTGGGCCTCAAAAACCCTATTCCAATTATTAAGGCCCCCCTTGTTTTACTCGTGAAGTTCTCCGAGCTGTCCGAAGCCTGAGTCCGTAACCTCTGACCCAGAAGCCCCCAAGCCAACCCTCCGACAAAAAGCCATGAGCCTCAAGCCCTAAACCCTAAACCCTAAACCCTAAACCCTAAACCCTAAACCCTAAACCCTAAACCCTAAATCCATCCATCCATCCTAAACCAAAAGCCACTTAGCGGACCCATATGCCACATACTAAGACCTCTATGAGCCTCTATAACACCCGCAGGGCCTTAGGAAACTTTACAGAACCCTTACTGCGGTCACCGAATGCGGCTTAGGCCTTGACCTTCGCAGCGTGGCGAAGCTGCACTGCATCGGCGTCAGGGCTTTAGGGTCTAAGGGGGCTCTGGCACGTTTTGGTTTTGGGATCCGTTTCCTGAAATCCTCGGTTTGGCAAAAGCTTTCATCATGGGGTTCTAGCCTCCTGGGGGTCAGCAGGTAGTATTGTTTGCGTTTAGGGTTTAGCGGGGTTGTAGTGTTTAGGACCATGGGCTTCAGTGCCGCGTGCACCTGCAGGGCTTTGTTTGGTTGAGGTTCCAGGGATGGAGTGCAACGGCAGAAAAAAACCTCTTCACCGGAGGCATGCCGACCCTACACCCTAAGCTCTAGAACTAAACCCTAAACCCTAAACCCTAAACCCTAAACCCTAAACCCTAAACCCTAAACCCTAAAACCTAAACCCTAAACCCTAAAACCCCTAAACCACAGGCCCCTAAACTCTCAACCCGGCACTAATGACCGCTTTCAAAGTCTATATCCACTTGCACTTCGCCCACCGACAAACATCATCCAGAACTCCCCAGCCCAGACCACCGGGAGGATCCAAAAAATAGATCCGCGAAGGGGTTCCTATAAAGTACCCTTTAGTAGTTAAGGTCCCAAATTAGGGGATCTACTTTTTAGATCCTCCCGGTGGTCTGGGAGCATGCTCACCAACTGCTCCGGAGAAGGTTCTGGGAGCTACTTGCAGGGTTTGGGTTTAGGGTTCAGGAATTTAGGGTTTAGGGTTCCGGAATTTAGGGTTTAGGGTTCCGGAATTTAGGGTTTAGGGTTCAGGAGTTTAGGGTTTAGGGTTTTGGGTCTTTGGGATCTACTTGTAGCGTTAAGGTTTAGAGTTTAGGTTTTGGGTTTAGGGCCTCTGGGAGCTACTTGAAGGGTTAGGTGGTCACGGCTGTTGGTGATGTTGATGCATACGCTTCAGGGTGAATGTTCTTCTGGTCAGGGTATGCTTCTGCTACTGCTATTGCTGCTTCATCATGCGTAATAAGAGCAAGACTACCGAGACTATCATTCGGAAGATCACGGCTGCAAGCGCAATGAGAGGGACACAAGCGAGAATCAGAGCAGCAAGAAGTAGATAATCGTAACCGTCCCCTGAACCCCCAAAACCCTGGAGCCTCAGAACGCCACACCCTACAAACAAAAACGAAGCCCCCAAACCCTAAACCCTAAATTCTGCGCTGCTAAGCCAAGCCAGTAGCTCTGCCGGCCAAGGTGGGGCGTCTTGGTTTGGTTCACCCCACTGCATCCCTGGGTGGCTGCTGGAGTACTCCTCGTAGGCCAAGCTTAGAGTTCTTGGTTTAGGGTTTAGGGTTCGGGGCTTCGGGTTCAGGGTTTGGGATTCAGGGTTTGGGGTTCAGGGTTCAGGGTTTGGGGTTCAGGGTTTAGGGTTTGGGGTTCAGGGTTTGGGGTTCAAGGTTCAGGGTTTGGGGTTCAGGGTATAGGGTTTAACCTGACGTCAGGCTTTCAGGTTGTGGTACGGTTGATGGACAAAATTCTGCATGATCCAAATATAGTATAGTACCATAAATCCCATAGTTTATGTATATAAGGTCATGCAGGATTTTGTCCATCAACTGTATGGGGGTGCAAGCTTGATGTTTCCAGGTGTTTGGAGCAGAGAGTTGTAGGCCTGGAGGCTTCATGTTGAGACTTTCCTAACGCAAAGG